AATCTTAATTTAAATTCAACATGGAGGTTTGGAGTTGGACATCTAAAAAGTTCCTGCTTCCTGGCGCAATAGTTAGCAAACACCATTTACTGGAGTTCAGAGTGAAGATCACAGTTTTTCCTATCTTGATAGTCAATGGGGATTGGTGGGGTCACCCTTGGATTGTCCCCAGTCCATCGCAGGGTCACACAGAGACACGCAAGGACCAACAACCACACACACTCACACTAAGGGCAGTTTGGAGTCCAGCCAACCTAACATGCAGGTTTTTGGACGGTGGGAGGAAGCCGGAGAATCCGGAGAGAACCCACAGACACAGGAGAACATGCAGACTCCACCCAGAAAGGTCCTGTTTCCCCGGGGACTCCAACCCAGAACCCTCTGGTCCTGGTTCCCCCGGGACTCCAACCCAGAACCCTCTGGTCCTGGTTCCCCCGGGGACTCCAACCCAGAACCCTCTGGTCCTGGTTCCCCTGGGACTCCAACACAGAACCTTCTGGCAGAAAGGTCCTTCCAAGTAATTTGTTAACGAACAAAATATTGAATCTGAGTTGAATTGACTCCTTATTTTCCGTTCGGTCAGAGGAGGCTCTGGAGTTTTGAGCTTGAGGATGTTCAATTTACTGTTTTTAGCATTTGTCTTTTAAACGGCCGATATCATGACTTCTTTCCTTTCACAGGGAGAAAACTGACCCCTGAAATCAAAGTGAATTGGAACAAAAACTGCCAGCAAGTAATAGAAACACATATTCTATATTACTACTATTATAGACAGAATTCAGTTTATGGGGGGAGAGGAAACGTATGTGTTGTTGGACAGGGAGCTCAGATCACGCTGTAAATGTCAGTTAACTGTCTCAAACTTCACCACATTCGATGGGCTGTTTGATCTCACCGACTTGGAGCTATTTAAAATCGCCCATCGATTGCGAATGGTTACTACCCCCCCATACTACCATCAATGGGGGAAAAGCCACTCTGGTTCCTGATCATTTGTGCTCTTTTAAGAGGTCAGAAAGAAACCTCGTTACAGAGCAAAAAGGCTCCGGAGGTCTCCTGATAGCCTTATCTGTGCCTCGATCGCGTGGCTTTTCTATGCTTTTGTTGTGACCATTCCACCTTCGTGGGAGGAATTAAACTCATAAAAGACAACTTAGTTGCTCCACCTGTCATGAATGTGGATCTTGGAGGGAGGACTTAGTCGCGGAGATTCGTGAAAAAAGGTTTATTTTAACAAAAACGCACTCAAAAGAGTGGATGATAAGACAAAGTTCAAAACAAGGCTGTGGCAAAAACTATGAACAAAGTAACAAAGCAAGATTAACATGACTGAGGCAAAGTATCAACGTAAGAGTAAACAAGGCTATGGCAAAAGCAATAAGGTTAACAAGACTGTGGCATGGCTGTGGCAAAAAACAAGGCTATGGCAAAGTATCAAATCAAGATTAACAAAACTGTGACAAAACATGGCTATGACAAAAACATGGCTATGGAACAAAAACAAGACTATGGCATGGTGCAAAAAGCAAAACCTTACGTGGCGAGGGGTGACGAAAAGTGACGAAGACGAAAACGCACTGGCACAGGACATGGGAAACGAGGAACTATTTAAACACATGAGGTAGGGGACACCACCTTTAATACGACTCACTAAGCCGTGTTGGACAGTCATCACATTCAAAGTAAGGCTGTAAGACTTCTTCTCAGAGTGTAAGAGCATCGAGTTTTTCCATCCAGGTGCCTTTAGCTTCTGATACGAGTCATGCTAACTCTTCTCCACGTCACCGTCAAAGTGGAGGTGCCTTGAAGTCTCTCCTTTGTGCATTTTGAGCCGAGTTGAATGTGAAGGAGTCGCTTCCTTGGTGGTTGTTGTCTGGCTTTAAGGGGAGGCAGTCGCGGGACAGCACACGGTTTAGTCCCAGTTAGCTAGCATTCAATCATCCTGTTGTGTGCGGGGACATTTGGCTGAGCCGAAAGATGAATGTGCGCACGCTTTTATTGACTAGACGAATGCCTTAAACAGCTGTTGTTTGCTGCTTTCTGTCTGGCAAAATAAAATAAATGTAGGCCTGTGGGGGGGGGGAGGGTCCCGTGTCCCCAAATGATCATCTGGTCTGAATCATGAAACCGTGTCGTGAAGCTAAACAGCAGAACCGTGTGGATGTTTCAAAGCCTGGACATCGGTGGTCAGGACATGGTCAGGATGGAGGTCCCGAACCTGATGATACTTTCACCCTGCCCAAATAAAAAATATAAGGAATTGATCTGAAAGTGTTCAGAAGTATGGCTAAACTCGTCCCCGGAGCCCGATCAGCCATCCTTTTACATAGAAACCTTTCCTTTCCCATATATCTGGCGAGAATATGTTATAAAACGCTCATTCTGATCAGCTTTGGTTGAAAAATGTATAAATGTAGTACAACTGAAAATTTTAAACAAAACAAAATCATACAGAGAATAAACAAATCTATGGATAAAACGCTTTTATATATACTAGTGTTTATTTGCTGTTTTCCATTACAGCCAAGGAGATAACTCTTTTTACTATTATGGTATTTTGGGAGTTTTGAAGAAAAATATGATGCAAAAATGAGCTTTTGCAAGAAAAGAGAGAAATTCACCTCTTAATCACATAAGAATCTTATACACCTGAACAAAAAGATGTTTTTAATTGCGTTTTTTTTTTCCAAATGAAGCAACTTTGTCAAATTATTTGTCGTTTCTTTGTGTTTACTTTTTGTCATCGGAAAGCTTTGATAGCTTTTGATAGTTTAGAACATCCTTCAATGTTCGAACCCGTCGTTTGGTGTTTCGGGTGCCTCTTTTTCTGTCCTTCAACTCAGTTCGTGCTCATTTGGGCTTGTGGTTCTGAACTCGGGTGCTGATTGGTCAGAAGTGTCCCTCCATACACTCTCCTCTTTGTTAATTCATTTATATAATTTTATTTTACTTAGATAGACTTTTCTATCTTCACTGTAGCCCTTATTTTTCTCAGCTCTGTTGCTTGTGACCAAAAAAAAAAAAAAAAACTCCTCGGACATTTGATACTTTATGTATTAAAAAGATTTGAAAGGAGGCTTCTTAGACGCCCATTAATCTGGATGTCGAGTAACGCCAGAACCTGTTCTGGTTTAGCAGGAAGGACGGACCCCAGATGATTTAGGTTAAACCCATCTGATTCTGAGGGCCGCTGCCAGACCTCATCACTAACGGCTAACCCCTCACAGCCGCCAGCGACCAGACGCGAGCGGGCTTCCTCCATAAACAAATTGAAGCTGTCACAATACGAGCTTCTCTATCGGGGAGACGCACCTTGTGCTGCTCTTTTTTCCCGTTCATCCGAATCCCAGACGGGGGGCCTAAAGGTCCGGGGATTGAAAAAACAGCTCGTAACACTGTCAGTGGGAGCAGACGTTCAGTTCACATCTGCGAGAGCCTCAAATATAACCATTCAATACAACTAATTGATGAATATCAAAAAGAAATTTGATCATATCTCTGAAACTTGTGGGTTCGAATAGACAGAAGTCTGGACTTCTTGTCTAATGGATCCAGATTGGTGTGATTTGCACGCTTGGGATGGGAAATTGGATCTAAATAATCCCTCCTGGTTAATCCTTTGGTTTCCCTAGCTCAGCAGTTTTTGTTTAGCCTTTTTGATTGACTCTGTATGACTCCGGATGAATTGGACCGCTTTGATACGATTGGATCAGAGTGACACTGATCCTCTCCGGCTTGACGACCGCATCTTTGAAGTGTCCGGCCGTGGTCCTGCTGAGGAACGGGCATCTCGTTTTGGGTTCTCTGACCATGTGAGGAGGGCACTTCGCTTTAGCTGGGCATCCCGACTGATTTTAGATCATTCTAGATTTCATTTCACTGATTCTGAGCATCCAATCCATCTCAACTCCATCAGTAGTATAGTTTTACTAAATATTTCAGTCCTTATAAGGGAATAAATGCATATGCATCACTAAGTTATTCTGTCTTTTGTCCTAAAAATCCTATATATGATGTAACATATTGCATCATATAAGTGTATTTGGGGATTTTTTGGAACATTTTCAGTCCACTCCTCTGTCTCTGCGAATCATCGTTTAAGAGCACATTTTAATAGCCTTTTAGTGATGTTTTTGTCTTATTTTAACCCAAAAATAGTCACGAATTTTCTGTTTTTTATCCGTTTGTCTTAGTATCATAAATACCGGCCACAGTACAATGCACAGAGAAATGCATCGTATTATTTTGATAAGGAAAACAACTTCTTGTTTTAAAAGAATGTTAATTAACTTACAAAAATGTTGCAAAAGAGCCATTTTATACCACAGATCCCAGTCCGAGTCGGTCCAAAAGAGTGTTCTGAAGGCCAGCGCCCCATTTGAAAAATAAGATAAAATAATTAATAAATAAATAAATAAAAAAATAAGAAATAAAAAAATAAGAAATAAAAAAGTAAGAAATAAAAACAAAAAAAATGATAATAAAAAATAAATAAATAGATAAAATAATAAAAAAAAATTAAAAAATGGAGCAAATGTGGAAGGAAAAAAAGATCATACAAACGCAAGATTCAGTTGCCCTCATAGGAACTTTATTTTTTATAAGAATTTAAACTATTTATAATAATATAAAAAATTGTACGATATTAAATGTTGTTTTCATGTAAACATAAAGCAACATATAAAATTAGCATGTGTTAACTTTATATCTAAGCATGGTCAAAGCTCAAATAAAAAATAGAAACTCATCTTAAAACAGGTATTTGTGAGTTTCGTAGCAGTGCTTATAGCCCTACACACCCTGTTAGACTTTAGTGCAGTTCACCGGGGTGTAGTCCTCTTTTATAAAGTGCTTTTATGCTGTGAATTTTGGAGTAGAATTACAATCTAAAGGCAGGGGAGCGAAACACCTTCCACGGTGTTCAGTGCAGGTGCTTTGCTTTAGCGTGGGGCTTTGGTTTAGAGGGGGGGGGGGGGGGGGGGGGTGGGGGGGGGGGCTGCTCAGCAGCGGGGGTTGCCCATCCGGCAGAAACACACAGTCCTGAAGAGCCGGCACTGGCAGAAGGCGCAGAAGTCGCAGCACACGTTGCCCGGAGACTTGCAGCTCCCCCACAGAGGGACGCAGTTCGCTGGGGGGGGGGGGACGCTTCTTCACGCCGAATTTGCTCTGAAGGGAAACAGTACAGAAGGGAAAACCAGGCTCTGGCTGGTAAGGCTGGACACCAGTTTGGGATCAGTTAAGCACTGGGTAACATCTGTGCTGCCATATGAGAGAAAAACCAGAAAAAATCATAGGAACACTGGTGTGGCCGCCTTAGGGTTAGAGCAGCAAATCAAATTTGAATCAAGATTATTCATTAATTCATTCATTCAATTTTATTTATATAGCGCCACATCACAACAACAGTTGTCTCACAGCGCTTTCCAAACAGAGCAGGTCAGACCCTACTCTGAAGTTAATTACAGAAACCCAACAATTCCCACCATGAGCAAGCACTAGGCGACACAGGCGAGGAAAAACTTCCTTTTAACAGGCAGAAACCTGGAGCAGAACCATGGCTCAGGGTGGGCGGCCATCTGCCATTATGACAAGTTTAGCATTCTACAAAGTGAGATAGTTTGAGCTAACAGATTCTATCCCCATATCACTCTCATATATTCTCTCTAGGACGGCAGCACCATCGTATTGTTAGAATTTGGCTATCATTACTCCCTTTAGCATTGTATGACTGATTGTCTTATTCCTTTTCAAACTATACTTTTGTGTTAAATTCTCTGGCAGTAACCACAGATTCTCTCTTTCTCTCTCTGTTAGTTTAGACACACGTCATTAGGTCAACACACACACACACACATTTTGTTAACACATTCCAAGGTTACCTGCATTAATTAGGACCTGGCCTGTTCATGTCAGGGTTAGGGTTAGTAAAAAACTGGCCAATAAGAACTCAGTAGTGTCCAGTCCTTTTGAGGACTGGTTTGTTCTCAGGTTTCCAACTAAAGACTCGGGTTAACCGTATCAGGCAGAATGCAAATACGATAAGCAAGGAAAGACAAGCTAGGAAGGAGATGGATGACATTGACCCAAACGAAAGGAAGCATGCTACCTGGGAGGTTTAATAGAATATGTGGCTGTTCCTGGACTACCAAAGCTGGCAAAATGCTATTTCTGAGAGCATCCCGGACATTTTGCAAGGGTTGCAAAGCATGCATGGATCCAGTAAAGCATGCATGCGATGCATGGAAAGTCTGCAGTATCCAAATTTAGAAGACTATGCAGTTAACCCTATAATGCCATATGTGTCATATTTGATTCATACGGTTTCTGAAGTCTTTTGGATCTGAGACTTTTTGCATCATTCAGTGGTAAAAGCTTTGCTCAAACCCCTGTTGTACACATTCAGATATACCTGATAACAGCCAGTAGAAGACTACACCAAAATACATTTTTGACATATTGCACGCTAATTTGATGAAATTATTTCTGTTATTTTTATTCATATGTTGTTGAGGGGCCAAAGAAAGACTTCAGACTTAAAAATTCCAATATTATTCCTATTTTTATTGGATGAGGCTTTAAAGGGTTAAAGAAAGCCTACTCGAGCTGTCAAATCAGAACCAACCTTCTTTTGTTTTTTGGCTTTCTCTTTTTTCTTCACAGATTTTGTCAGCTCTGAAAGAGAAAATCAGAAAAGAGAGATTTTACCAAACGTAGCATCGTTGTGTCATCAATGAGAAAAGGTGTGGGGGGGGGGGGAATACAGAAGATCATACTTACCCACCATTACAACAGGGGGCGAGTCTACTTCCAGGCTCTGAGACAGAGAGTTGGCCACCACCACCTTATTGGTGGAGAGCACGTCGTCGTGGATCATGTGGGCCGAGCCCCGAAAGTACTGCGTCGCCGCCACAAAGAGGAAGCAGCCCAGCAGCAGGGGGGCGCGCATGTTTTTTCCCTGGAAAAACACGAAGAAGAAGAATACGGACCACCAGTCAATGTGTATCAGACGATTCCATTCGACCTGCTGAAATATGGAATATCCCTATCTTGGGAACGTTATTAACCCTTTAAAGCCTGATCCAAGAATAAAACAAAACAGAAAATATTTTTTTTTTTGGTTTGAATTCCTTATTTGCCCTTTTAACAAAATATGTCAAAAGAAAAAACAGAATAAGTGACGGAATAAATATGGCGAAGAGTAATAGGTGGGCCTTGCCGCTGGCAGTGACCCCCCTAAATACATTTTTTATATTGATAATTTATTACTATGCGATAAGTCAAGATTATTTTTTGTGTAGTCTTCTTCCCCCTGTTATCAGGGGTATCTGATTGTGTACAATAGGATTTTTGAGCAAAGTTTTTACCATTAAATTATGCAAAAGGTGTCAGACGCAAAACATTTCAGAAACCGTATGTATCAAATATGATACATTTGGCTTTACAGGGTTAAAGTTATGCGATGCTTGATGGAAATGTGTATTATGATTAATTTTTGGCCAATAAATGTCTATAAAATGTTGTAATGTGGAGTTTTCAGGAGAAGTTGGATCACCTAGGCAGTGAATTCTGGTGTTGGGGACTTCCAGTGAAAGAATGAGATGTTATAAAGTTATCTATTCATCCATTATTATCCATCCCTGAATGAAAAAGCTACGACTGACAGGTAAAATTAGGATTTCTCATTCGGTTTGAGGTGTTCCCCTCATCTCTAAACTCTCCAGATACCAACCTCATGAAAATCCCCCGCATAACCCACCACAAAGAGACACCTTCAGACGTTTTTCTAGCTGGTTTTGACCCGTCGAATGGCGACTCTCCATTCGACAGGTGGTCATAACATTGTGCTAAACCTAAGCAGGTTTTTCGTTTTTGTAAATCCCTCCACACTGCAGTGCCCCCCCTTCCTGCGTGGTCTCTAAATGTGCCCAAAAACGGGAGATTTTTAACATTCTGTGGCTGGGTTTTGTTTTCAATTCTGCTCCCCGAAAGCTGTTTTTCAGCGGATGTTTTCATGCTTTGCCTGTCAGGCCGTAAATCGTTCCATATTTATGGCATGAGTCTGTGAAAAAGGAAAATGACACCAAAATTGCATCAAATTGGAAGCTTGAGAAGAAAATTTTGGCAAAGTAATGATTTCAGGCTTATTTTCTCTGAAAGAGGAAGTCTTTTTTATCCCATTTTTATCCACATTACAGGTAGAGAATTCCAGTTCCAATTATTATGATTACATTTTGGTCAAAAAAAGGAAAAATATTAAGAATTAGAATTAGAAACAACCGTGCTTTTTTTCCCCGTATCTGACAGCACTTACTAAAACAAACAAAAAAAAGGAATTTTTTAATGTTACTACAATTACGTTCTGATCTATTATTTATTTCAAATTCTGAATAATAGCAATAACAGTAAATTATGCCAAAGGCTGTGGCCCTGAGGGAAAGTCGTGACTTCTCTATAGGAAGGTTCAGCCAGACCTCCGATGTCAGGAGTTATGGATTTTTGGCTTTTTTTCGACTTTTGGTCGTTTTCCAGTTTGAGTTTCTTAGAGATTTGGCCCAGTGTCTGTGCTTGAGATGGGCCTTTTGTCATGTTTTTGTTCATAAATCCTGGATAACCCCGAATCCTTCTTGTCCCTTGTCTGTGTCTGTCGTAGCGTGATGGCAAAACTGTGTTTTCCTCTTTTTTAAAAACACAGCTGCTGGACGCTAAGGCAAGAACCGCAGAGTCCAGCTAAGGGTTGGGGGGGGGGGACATCGGATTATGGTCGAACACTTTTGACCTTTTAAGGGCTGAACGACAACACTTTGGTTCATTTTAAGTGAATTAAACCAAACAAAATATCATAAATACAACAATGGACTAATATTGTATGAGATCGGCCTTTTAAAGTGTATTTATTTGTTTCAATGTCCAGGGTTTAGGGACAACTTCCACTTTTCTGTTCCATGAATGTAGAAAAAGGGAATGCAGATTTTTTTTAACCCTATAATGCCAAACGTATCATATTTGATACATACGGTTTCTAAAATGTTTTGCGTCTGACACCTTTTGCATAATTTAATGGCAAAAACTTTGCTCAAAATCCTATTGTACACAATCAGATACACCTGATAACAGGGGGCAGAAGACTACACAAAAAATATCAGGACTTATCGCATAGTAATAAATTATTAATATCAAAAATGTATTTCTGTTTTTTCTTTTTACATATTTTGTTAAAAGGCCAAATAAGGAATTCAAACCCAAAAAAAAGTGATTTTCTGTTTTGTTTTCTTCTTGGATCAGGCTTTAAAGGGTTAAAGTGTATTTATCTGTTTCAATGTCCAAGGTTTAGGGACAACTTCCACTTTTTTCTACCATGAATGTAGAAAAAGGTGCTGTTTTGTTTTTGTTTTTTTAAACACAAAAAGCCACTGTTCTTGCCCTGATATGTGGTTTGTCCGTTCTAGGCTTCTGTAGAAGGAGGACAGTGCAACAAAAAGCTCAATTTAAGCCATCTGTACACATGAGCTGGTTGTTCTGAGGTGCTGAAATCCAGATCAGTAATACAGCACAGTTGTGTCTGTTCTAGGTTGTTTTCAACCTAAAAAAAAACCTTGATACCGAAAAAACGAGCGCTCAGCAGATCTTTGAACGCGTCCCACACGGCGAGGGGAAGGCCGAGGCATCGCGTGACGGTTGGCAAACTGCACTGTCAAAGCCAAATAATTAAAAAAGGGCGAAACAATAACAGGAAACTCAGAGGGGAGAGCTGACATGCGGGGAAAAACATTCGCAGATGTACCCCGAAACGTAAATTCCGGTTGGTCCACGTTGAGATGTTCTACAGGCTCTACAGGCCTCCAGGAGACAAACGTTTATCCGTACAGAACTTTTTCTGTTCGGGGCAACGAAACGCAGACTCCCCGTCAAAGATACTGAGATATCACACACGGTTTCACATTCCTCTTTACATTTCTGTCCGTTCGCCCGCACTCTTATCATAAAGTTTCAAGAAGATATTTGATTCCATTTGATGACACAGCAACCTGTCAAAATGTTTAAATTTAGCTTCTCAGCTTCAGTTTAGAATTTGTTTCCGGCCTAAAACGGACCAATATTTACGTATGTTGCCGAAAAACTGTAGTTTGATTTTTTTGTTTTAAACACCAAAAACTAATAAAATCTTGGGATCACACTTTCTGCAAACAAATTAATGAAAGTCTAATTAAATAGAGAAATCTTCATATAATCTCTCCTCTCTCAATGTTCTTTATCTGAATTTATCTGTATTATCTGTCAAATTCTGGTGTAATACACGTTTTTTTTTCCAGATGTGCATTAAATGTTGAGACCTCACTGGCAGGTATAATTCTGTGTAACTACGCCGTCTGCTGATTTAGCTTTAGAGGAAACCATCGGGGATTTTTTTTAGAGAACGTGACACCACCTCGACTAAAGAAAATGATTTCAGGGGTGCAGATATAATCATTTCGTCTTCTCCCGACAGCTAATTTTCTCATTCCTGCCTCTTTCTCCCCATTTGTTGGCGAGAGAGAAAAGGCGCCTCGTGTTTTTGATGGCAGGCCTATTTTCAGTGCAGCGGGGGGGAGGAAAAGCTATACGTCGAGAGGGTTTTTTGTGCTTTGCAGTTCGAGTAATAAGCGCTGTCAAAACTGATCTTTCTAGAATTTGTATAGACTTTGTAAGCACAGTTCCATTTTCCTCCTTTAAGGGCTATACGACTGTATTCTTATTCTGAAAAATCCCAGTTTTACTCAACATCCAGTCCTCTCGACCTCTGACCTTTCTCTTCAGTCACAGACTGAGTGAATAATTTCATTTGCTTGCCATAATTTCATTTGTCAGCTATATGCACCCTGACATCTCGGAGTAGAAAATGATAGAAAAAAAACGTGCAAATCAGGGGTAAAAAATTCAGCCTAAAGCTTTGTTGCTCCATCAAACTCCCTTTAGATTTCCGGTAAAAGAGACAGCGCAGAGGGAGGAAGGTTTTCATGTCATTCGGGTGATTTCGAGTTCAAACTGCTGAGTCTGTGCGCGAGATACGTTGCCACGGCGATGTCAGAACCCATAACATCCCATCTGAGACGATAAGGCCTAAAGGTTAGGAAGCCCTGACGCCAAAATCTAGCCACAGACGTTCGGGGGAGAGGTGGAAAAGTGGAATATCTGTGGAAAAACAATTAATTAACAAGGATAAAAGCAGAGAAATAATAGAAATCCCTGTAAATGATGGTTTATGGTATAAAATCTGAATATGGCGTTCAGGGACACTTCCCGTGGCTCAGAAAACAGACTTTAAAACAAGTTCCTTCGTGGTTTAAAGTCCTTCTCTGGCATGTTAAAACCGTATGAACCTGCTCAGACTCTCAGAACGGCAGGTTCTGGTCTCCAGCTGGAGCCCAGAGTCAGAACCAAACCAGATGGGTTTCAATTTTATGCTCCTCAAACCTGAAACAGCCTTCTAGGAAAAGTAAGAGAGGCCTCAACTCTGGATGTCTAAATCCAGGCTGAAAAACAACTGAAAAGTGTTTGATCTGCTCTCTGCTTTTAATTTAATTTATTAATGAATTTTTTACAATTTATGGAACGTTTTTATTTGCCTTTTTGTCATCTAATGTAGTTAAGAAGCACTTTGAATGATATATTCTGTAAATAAACTCATCTTGCCTACCTGGAATGTGGATATTTCTGAATGGAATCATCAGAATTGAAGAACAATTGAGATATTTAACGCATAAAAAGACTGGAAAATAATGTCAAAAAACGTATTTTGACTGAAATCGAGAATTATGCACTGAAAATTAACTCAATGGGAATCCAGAAAGGGGCAGGAATGGAAAAGCAGACCTCCGACTCACAATACGTCGCACTGAGTAATTGAAATAATTCTTTTAGCTGCAAAAAGCCAGTGTATCTTTTAAAAAAACGAGGGTTCCATAGATTTTAAAGAGTCCCTCCAAACGATTCGGCCGTTATTTAGCAGCTCTTACTTTGGCCTTTTGGTCTTGAGCTTTCTTGTCACATGCCTCCTTCATTAGGTAATTTACGCACCACCTAAATGACCGTGGTCCCACGCCCTGACAAGAAACAGACTCTTCTGCCTCCCCACACACACACACACACACACACACACACACACACACACACACACACACACACACACACACACACACACACACACACACACACACACACACCCGGTGACACCAGAAGTAACTATTATTACAGCAATTACGCAGACGTCCGAGGCCAGAGAGGAAAAAAAAGGTGATATTTCTCGCATTTTCTTCACGATATTGCCACTTTTCGCAGGTTCCTCTGGTCACTTTTTTCTGCTACCGCCTCCATGATTTGACCCCACTGTCCGACAGCTGGTGGAACAATTCAGAACCGCGTAGAAGGAATCTGACTTAATCTGTCAGGACAATCCCACCGCGTCCAAATTCTGACATCAAAGCGAGGCTTTTTCTTCTTTTTTTCCTCTGGCCACATAGAGGCGAAACATCTGACCCGCACTAGTTAAATGTCAATCAAAGGATCATATTCTCCGCTTCATTCCCTGGATTGAGCACACACACACTTTTTCGGGGGGGAAACATGCCCAAGAAAGTGCTCTGGAGCTGACGGAAGAATAACATCAGAGCACCCGGGCGGCCTGGTTCTCATTTCGAAATAATTTGGAGTAATTTCCATCACCAGGGAGGTTGGCAATAAATGCGCGGGGTTCCTCTGGAAACTGATTCGCCTCGTTGCAAAAAAAGGGCTGCTGGCTTCACTTTCCCCCCCGCTTCCCCTTTTGTCCGTGTGTGTTTGCTGGTTCCAATCCGGCAGATAAACAAACAGAGACCCGAAGCATCTCGGCCCCGTTTGCTTTTGAAAAACGTTGCCCCAAATATTTCTGCCCACAGTTTAAAAAAAAAAAAAAAAAAACCGGCCAGGAGCAAACGTTTTAAATTAAAACTTCTATTAAATATAGATATAGATATTGATAGATATAGATATAGATATAGATAGATATGGATATAGATAGATAGAAGATAGAAGACAGAAGATATAGATAGAAGTTTTTAAGATTTGGTTTTAATAATTTAAAGCACTTTGTCTAATCAACCTAAAAAAGGAAAAGAAAAACTTCTTGTTAATAGAGAAAGAACTATTTAAACATCATCTAAACCCTCTAAATTTTACACATAATAAGAATACATGTTTTCTTTCTTTTAAACTGGTAAGTTTAGCCAATTTTGAGGGACACATTAAAAATTTAAGAATACGCTTTGAAATGACAAAACATCTACAGAGATCCCACAATTAAGTCAAATGAGAAATAACTCAAAATTATAACACGTTGCTTTAAAATTTGAGTAAAAATGACAAAAGAATGAAAAACAAATCTGTCAAATGCTGAACATCCAAAATGTTTTTAAAAATGGGGCAGTTTTGCCTGTTGTTTGTTTGTTTGTTGGAGAGATGGGGTTATTATATAACATAATCAACCTTATACGAATGTGAATAATAAAAAAAAATACATGTCCTAATATACACATTAAAGCACAACTAAGCTCTTAGAATAGTTTGTTTGATTTTCCACATTTCGGCTAAACAGGAAATCACAACTTCGTGTGAGGCCGTCGGCATCCTTCAAAGTGGCAAATGAAGCTTTTAGAACGAAAAAACACTCCTTTCAATCAAATATTTAATGGCCAAAAAGCCAAATATCTGTCAACTAAAGTGGGGAGAAAGCTATTTTGTGTTAATATGATTAAAGATCCTGTGAATTTAACTCTTTTGCCACCAGTGTGGAGAGTTTATGGGGCTCTGAAGCCTCCGTATGGGCCCTAAAGGCCTCTCTTTGTTTCTTTTTTCACTGTCTTTTTTATTATAATAATTATTATTATTTGCTTAGAACCTATACTGAGTTCTGAAATGTTGGAGCTCATGTTTCAGCCCACTCAAGTTACCCGAACTTAAAGGGATTGGTCCAAAACGCTCTCAGTTCTCAGACTGAACCAATTTCGGTCCAACAAATGCATTTTAGGACTAAAGCTGCATCCAAAAGAAGAAAACCCCAGCCTGTGTGGATGTTTCCCGCTTTGAATTCTGAAGCTCAAAGGCTTTTTTCCCTTTAGGAGATCCTGTCATTTCAAGTTGTTTCAGTTATCATTATGATTTGTCATTTAGTCAGAAATTAGAATCCTTTTACCTTCTATAAAACGTCAGAAAAAAGACCTCAGAGACATTTCTGAGGTGAATTAATTTGAAAAACTGAGTAAAGTTACTCCTCAAATTTCAAACATGAGCTCCTATCATTCAAATATTACACAAAAGATCATTTTCAATCTGAAAAATGTTCAGAGAACCTTTTTACACTCCTGGCTTTAATTTACTGCTATGGGTGTTACATTTCATGCAACAAACTTGTGATTAATTCAATTCTGTTCTTATATTTCAGACTTTCAATCAATCTACCTCCAAAAGAGAAATAAGAAACAAAGGCTAACAAAGGTCAGGTCTGAAGATCAAATTTTTTTAAACCTTAAACAGCCCCATAATGTCCTAAAAATGGTCTCCTACAAGGAAAGATGGTCGGTGGGGCTTAAAACTATCATTATCAGCACTGAAATGCATCACTTGAAGGCTCTTCAGGTCATGTTGGGGAACACACAGTCTTATAAGTCTTATAAAGGCAACACAAATTGGAGAAAAGAGGAGTTTGGGTTGAATGAGGTATGCAGAACATAAGACTTCCTATCTGTTGCTTTTACTATCCATCCATCCATTTTCTCTGCTGCCTTTTCCTTCCTCTGGACCCTATCCCAGAAAAACTGATCACACAAAGCTGATTTTATGATCTTTTTTCCCAATTACTGCTTCTCTATTACACTCTGTTAGCCTTCTGGATGCTCTAGACTGGAACTGGAGTCTATAGTAGGACAGAACTGGGGAGTGGATGTGGTAAACTGACTAGGCCAAGAGTGAGTGGTTTAAATGTGACTAAAAACACATCGCAAAGGCCCGGGCTGATCTTTACCGGTGGCGATAAGGACAGAGCTTCAGGTTGAAGCTCTAAGTTTAAGTTAGACTCCTCAGACGGAGCTACGATGATGGGGATCCCATACTGGGTATCTTCAGCCCCCTGGTTTGACTCTAGAACCTTCTAGAAGCTGGAGAATAAAGGATACAGAGGAAAGCTCTGGGTTTGATCTCCGTCTCGACATTTTTATCGACTTAAAAGTCACAGCAGAGCCTCTAAAAATGCTACTAGCATAATTTTATTGACGTCGCTACGTTTATTTTCTTCCTGTTTTTGCCATATTTCCTTTGTCTCCCATTCAAAATCAAGTCAAAGACCAAATATTTGGTCTTTTAAGGCTCTGCAGGGCCACTAATTGGCTGTGGGTGGACCGGTGGTTTGGTAAAAAACCTTATTTTAACTGGGCAGCGCATCATTTTGTCGTTACAAATTTTTTCATGTGTGTATTTTTATGACATTAAATACCAAAGGTTCATATTTGGTTCCTGGATTTTTAATGTTAACCTTAATAAAAATCAGCGTTGCAACATTTGTGCAGCGGTTACTGTTCCAGGGTTCATTTTCTTCCAGATTTTTTTTGGGGGAAAAAAAATAGACATTTGGAAGAAAATGTGTGAAACGTATCCGGTATTTCCTCTGTTGCTGCTCATTTCGATTTAATAGACTCAGGAGCTGCCGTTAGTGTCCCAAAGAGACGCATGGCACAGATACAGGAAGTGACTCTTCGTTTTTTACCGGCCTCTGGGAGCCCGCTGTGAGATTAATTCCTCCGTCTATTGAGACAAAAGTAGAAACCAAGAAAATCTTGTTTTCACGACGTGTGAAAACCATTTTAAACCAGAAGTAGCACCAAGCAAAAGACGCTTCCTGGTGGACTTTTAATAAGACTTAATTATTATTATTATTATTAACATTTAGCAGAACTTTCCAAATGCTGCTTCGATTATTGTTCTGACACTTTTCCTCAAGTATTTCTGTGCTTTTTCTTGTTTTTCTTGCCGTTGCTCAGAAGGAAAAGAAGCCCTGACCCCACATTGCCCTCTGATGTGCCCTTTTGGCTGAAAAAAATGTGTATAAACTAACTTGTTTTCGCTAAATGTGGCCTTCTGAATGCTCAGGCTGACCAGAAGTTATCGTTTATATACAAAAACGTGTCCAAAAAAACGATGATACTAGCAGAACGCTTTTTGAGTGACCTTTCCATCGGGATGTCTTTTTATGTTGAAAACTATAAAAGCATTAGCATTTTAAGAAAAAGAAATGAACAGACAAAGCACAGAAAATACATTATAAATAAAAGAAATAAGGTAATTATCCTTATTATTGTTATATGCTATCTGTGACTGTGTCATGCGTTATAATTAGATACACTTCCACTTATTAAATCAAGTTTACATAAATAAGTACAGGCACTACATTTTATTTTTTAATTAAAGGTAAAGGTTTATATTAGCTGTTATGCCTTAAAAATAGACAGTGCTCAATAAAATATAGGGCAGGTGTTAATTTACAAACCCAAAAGGTGTCTAGACCTTTTAATAGGTAGTCATTTTTAAGATAATCTGGCATCTTCCCAGAAAATATGCATCCACAATGTGGATGGTGAGGTTCAATAACGATGCGATATAAAAAAAAATCAGGTTTAAATTTTTCTAAAAGGCAGTCTACAATATAAAATTAAAACGTCCTACCAAGTTGCTCTGCTGCCTGCAAGAAACGTGTTGGTTAAAATAATATTTTGATTTAATATAAGGATTTAATGCTGTCATAAAAAAGACTACTATGTTTTTTTTTCCAATTTCATGATCATTGTCATTAATTGTTATATGTTCCTTGTTTTATTTTGACCGTCATTTCTTTCTTTTAACAAAAATAAAAAGATCTTTGTGTGGGACACTGAGTTTCGTCTCAGGATCTTTTTCCTAACAAATCCATGTAAACTGAAACCGTTCCACAAGAAGGAAAATAAAAAAAGATTAATAACGCCACATGAATGAAAAATAACTCAGAGCTAAATGAATAATAATAACAAAGTGGCAAAAGCCTTTAAAAATGTCGGATGTAGAAAGGATAGGTCTCTAAAATTGTGGCAGAAGTATAAAAAAAAGCCTCCAGGAAACATAGACCTACTCCATTAAAGAACATTTACAACTTAAATATGGCATTGAGATAGTTAGAAAGTTACCCTTTATAATTTCTATCTAAATCATTGACTATAGACATCAAAATAAAGAATGCGTAAAATGTTCATTTACAGAGTTAAAGTGAAGGAAAAAAGTTGAATTCAGTATTTTAACATCAGAATGAATTAACTCTG